AAAAAAGTTAATTGGGTTACTTTTGGGTTATTTGTCAGAAAAACATTATGAAGGTTTTCCGTGATGAGGAATCTAATGGTGATAGCAGCATTTCCAAAAAATGCACAGCAACTTTGGGGTAGCAAAAATTTAGGGTGGACCTATAATTATGAAACGCAGTGTATACTATTGATCCTGACCGTTGCCTTCAAGAAGAACAAAACTTATGACACGAGTGAGATCTAAACCCTCTATGACGGTCGGTAAAGCTCAGTTCAGTTCCGTTGCGACAAAGCTTATCAACGACTGGTCTTTTACACAACCTGTGTGCAAAGAAAAATGTCCTCTTTGCAAATTGTCAAGGTTAAATGAAATTCTGTTTTCAGCTTTCATTATGAAATATATTTTTATTACTTTAAATAATACTAATCCCTGTGAAGAAGAAAAACGAAATCTGTACATAGAGGAAGACTCCCCATAAATAACGGCCATCACAGACGACTGATAACAGAAGTTCAACAATTACCCAGTAACAATAATCCTTTCAAAAAAGGCATCCATTGACTCATAAAAGCAAAACACACGAAAATGTGATAGAAACCAATTAGTACAACACGTATACAGAAATGGTATGAATTGAAAAACCTATCCGAAGAACAAATATTATAATTTAACCAAGCTTATTCAGGATAAGTTTCCTTTCAATGACTCGAGATGAGTGATAAATCATAGAGTCGAGCATCTGAGCGACAGTGAATACGCCTCCAATAATAGCACATAGCGAGACCAGAAACGTAATCAAATGTCTAAAAGATGTTTTCTAATAAAAAGTACTTCTCTAGGGAATAGATTTTTCGGAATATATGAACATTGTAGAAACGTACTGCCGCCTTTCTTCGTACCGCACCATAAGTGGACTGAATTCATACTGCACGACAAAACCCGGAATCCCACTCACACCTGAACTCACTTTATTTGCAGAAAAGTTGTTACAGTGCCAATTCCTTACATTAAAGTGATAATCAAGTCCTTAGACTCTGTAGCGTTCCATTTCTTCTGCATCATCTGAGGTCTAACTTGACATAAAAAACTTGAACGATTTTGAAGTCACCCCGCAAGAATTGCAAGGCCTGTGCGCGAACTCACGATGCACTTAGGATTTACTCTAGATCGGTAATTTAACGAATGCCGGATAAAGCATTTGCCGTTGATCAATCCCTTTTTGGGATGCGGCACGCATTCTACTTCCATTTGTACATTCGTAGTGGCGTTTGAATGCGATGTGGCCTATACAATGACTTGCGGGGGCCAGCCGATGTACAAGTCAGTGTTTTTATCCTCCCAGACAAGTCTGGTACCAATTAACCGACCCCGGAGGGATGGAAGGCTTGGTTGGCCCGGGCGACTCACGACCCAGGATTTGATCCCCGGACCGCTCGCGTGGTAAGCGTGCCACTTGCCACTACACCACTTCCGCCCGGAGAAAATGAATGTTCCACAAAAACGCGGAAGTTCAAGTATTTCCCATAAAAAGCTTTCTTCCTACAAAGAATTTGCTTGGAGACTGCTCTGAACTCGAACTGCTATTCGGCGTACCGAATTCTGATTGGTCTTGAGCTCTCCTCTAAAAAAGGAGTGGCTGCTCATACTCGATGCTCAATGTGATCTCAACGTATAGTTTCGGGTCATTTCAACATCTTCGAAAGCCAGAGGGACGAGCCCATAAACGTTCTACCTCCTGTGAGAGTTCAATTTACAGAAACTTTATGAATACGCAGAGCCTTGGGCAACCAGGGCGTCCCTACTCAGTACATCAAGATTCTACAGCAACTTTACGACCAGAATCTCACCATTCTACAAGGAGGTCATCATCGACGTCAAGAGAGGGGTTCGACAGGGCGACACCATCTCGCCCAAACTCTTCAGCGCCGCTCTCGAGAACGTCATGCGTCAACTGGAATGGGAAGACATGGGAGTGAAGGTCGACGGCCGGCAACTACACCACCTTCGTTTTGCTGACGACATCGTTCTTATAACGCCGAACATCGAGCAAGCGGAGCGAATGCTGGCTGATTTCGACTGCGCCTGTGGTAAGGTCGGTCTACAGCTGAACCTAACGAAGACGATGTTTATGAGAAACGGATTGGTTCCTGATGCCCCATTCACGCTCAACGGAACGAACATCACCGAATGCTCCAGCTACGTGTACCTAGGTCGGGAAATCAATATGATGAACGATCTAGCTCCAGAGCTGAGCAGGAGGAAACGAGCGGCTTGGGGAGCGTATAAGAACATCGAGGGAGTAGTGAAGAAGACGAAGAACATCCGGCTCCGTGCCCACCTCTTCGATTCCGCTGTCCTTCCTGCCCTAACCTACGCCTCAGAGACTTGGACTCTGCGCAGGCAGGACGAGCATGCGGTCAGCGTTATCCAACGCGCTGTCGAGAGTAACCCTATACACGCAAGTGCAGAGGGGAATCCGGAGTGCCGAACTACGCCAACGATCGAAGATCAGGGACGCTGCCGTTTTCGCCAAGGAATCGAAGATAAGGTGGGCCGGACACGTCATGCGATTCCGCTCGACCAGATTCGGCGTACCGACGACGACAGGTGATACAGGTGATATGGATAGGCAAGCCATCGAAACTAGCTCTCACCACAAATATCAACAACGCCTTTAATTATTATATGGCGCATCTTACATGTCATTATCGTGTTTTGGAGCACCAATCGAACATCAGAGAAACGCTGAAAATGACTCTTTACTCGGCATTACACAGCGCCGACAACAATTCTGTCAACTACGGAAAGGTCCTGTTTGCAAAAAAGTAAAACCTTAGAAGGCTGAACCAATTCCCTTGGACCGGTGACGCTAACACCTATGTTGTATAAGATGTAATAATACTGATTAAAAGTTATATGCAAACCTTAATTTTGAAAAGTTAACTATTAATGAAGTTATTGGTTGCGAAGGTTGATGAGAGGCACCTTTCGATCTATCCTTTTGATGAGTTGTTACTGAGAACTGATGTATTTATACACATCGATCCATCCATGCGTACTATCATAGCTTGGGGCACAACTTTCACGTAAATTATGCATAATAGCACCTGAAAGTTGGAAGTCTTTCATTGTATGAAGCGCAAACTCGGTGAGACGGTTTGTATGTATTAACATCTGCCTCCCGGAAAGAGGTGCGCGTCGAGGCGAAATTCTCGTGAGAAGAAGATACCATGTGTGCTTCGAGATGTTCTCGATTTGATGCTACGTCATTGCCGCGACAATTTCTACAATTGTCTTGCTCTAAGGCACTGGAGACAAAGTAAATGTTAGCATATAAGTCGGTTTGTGCATTTATCCGTTCCGCAAAATGAATTGAGTGATAAGGCAGCTGGAATAGGGAACCAACAAATTGCTTCCGGACAACCGCCGTGACTTTCCTTTCCTCATACCTCATGGAGGTGACGCATATTCACAAAAGGTGTTGTTTATAGTAGATGGCACTATCACAATCATGACATGACGTTATGATGACAGCACAGTACTTTCATGTACCTTAGATATGTGGGGAAATGGTTTTTCTCCTTCTCCCCATTTTGTCCTTCCTCCACTGCCCCCCAACACCTAATTATATTGCTTTCAGTCATTCCACACCACTATGTGGAATGATCGGAAGCAACACAATTAGGTGTTTATATAGCCGTTGGGCATGATCTCATGCATGCCAATGCAAAACATTAATAGCTCGAGCCCTGCGAGCTACTCGATTTTATCAGCTGTTTGTTCGCTTCATGAGCTTCCTTATCTGTTCGTTTTACGGACGTACAGACTGGTATACCCTGTCTCCGGCGCCGGTGCGCGTCCAGTGTAGATCACACAACGCAAGTGACAACAAAATGTAATTGTTTCTGCCAATGAAGTGATCAGCTAGTTGCAGTTGTATTCCATCAGTTGTCAGTAACAAGGGAGGTCTTTCAGGACATGGAGCGCTTTTTCGAAACGGTTTCTGCATGTTGTGGGGCTCATGCGAACACAGAACCATGATCCATTTTTCCTGAACGCCTCCAGGAATGTCAAAACAGTGGTGAAGAAATGGTCCAGAGTTCGATCCCCGGTGATGACTAATTTTTGCAATATAGTTTGGCGCCCCCAGATTGCCGCCAAATGGCGCCATCGTCGAGAATAGATGTCATTGTCGTGTTTTGCGGCAATTTGGAGGCGCCAACATAAATTGCAAAAATTTGTCATCACGGAGGATCGAACTTTGGACCATTTCTTCCCGCTGTTTTGACATTCCTAGGGGCGTTCAGGAAAAATGGACCATGGTTCTGTGTTCCTCACATGAGCCTCTACAAAAACAGGGAACCATTTCGAAAAAACGCTCCATGTCCTGAAAGACCCTTCCTGTAAGGCACTACTGCACTATTACGACCCCAGCAGGGGTGAGATTGGCCA